ATATAATCTAAATAATGGGCAATTAACTTGAGAATGGTAGGAAGTACATTCTCTGAAACCCCAGAGAGGGAAAAAATCATGTTCATCTCAGGTGGTAAGAGGTGACATCACAGAGGAAGGACCTTGTGGACTGGATTAAAGGATTGTCCATATTTCAATAGCCAGAGATCAGCAGCAGACATTATATCTGAGGGGGATGGTAATATGGGTACCGATATGAGAAAGGTCAATCCTTGTTTGGAGCAAAATGAGTGCTGACTGTGCAGAGAGTAGGATTTGTGTAGGGAAATTATGGGAGATGGGGCTGCAAAGTTAAAGGAAGTCCTTTAACCCAGGCAGGAAAAGCACTAACACTGCTTGGGAAACAATGGTACGTCCATACTCCAGAATTCCCATTAGAAGGAAAGAAGTGATCTCTGCAGTCATTTTTAGAAGTCTGCAAATTAGTATGACTATGAGCAGTTGTTAGAACCTATAAAGAAGGGAAGCTGATAAAATAGCAAAGGATTGTGGCTCTGAAGCTGGACTGACCTCGTTTTTAATCCTAGCTCCACCATTCAACTCCATGTGACACTTAACAAATTATCTGTTTCAGTTTCTTCATCTATAAAATCAGAGTGATAATAGTACTTACTCATAGGGATATTGTGATGATTAAATGAGATAATTAATGGGGAGCACTTAACACAGTTTCTGGCTCTATAAGTGATAATGGTTGTCATTTCTAACCAAGAGTTAACCTTGACTTTATCAAGGAACCCTCACGAGGGTATCTCCTCTTAGAGTCCTACATGTGCAGGTTTCATCCATTGCCCAGTAGTACCCTGTATGTTTCTCCTTGCCTGATGCCTCAAACATCATTACTCATGAGTTTCTGGGATGTATTGAGAGCCTCATCTATTTGGGCTGTTGACAGCACATCCCTCCTGTTTTGCATTCCTGTGTTTTCTAAGGTGTGCCTCTGTGCATTTCTATCTCTTCCTCCTGGCTTCTGTGGTTACCTGAGTTATGTGGATGTCTGAAGTCTTCTTAACTATAATTTTGTAAGTTCTGAATCTTAACTGTGTCTAAGATGTTAAGTACTCACTTCCTCCCTTTATCAAGTACTATATTCTGTTACTTTAATTTGTACTTGTATTATTGATTCTCAAATTTAAATTTCTCTAACTCAAAAATGTGAAAAATATGAGAAGCAAGAATATGATATTGAATGAGGATATAATTTAGGAGTAAATGCTGTTAGCTTGTTGTGTAGTGCTTACTGAAGAATGAACTCTGGTACAAATTAATTTCATTTAAAAATTCACCCAAAGGTCGTAAGTTTTGGAAAGTGTCAAAAAAAAAATT